TACACAACAATATACTACCAGATATACAACAATATACCACCAGATACACACATTTCATCCAAATATACAACATACTACCAGATACACACATTTCATCCAAATACACAATATACCACCAGATACCAAACAATATACCACCAGATACACAACAATATACCACCAGATACACAACAATACACCACCAGATACCCAACAATATACCACCAGATACCCAACAATATATCACCAGATACACAACAATATACCACCAGATACCCAATAATACACCACCAGATACCCAACAATATACCACCAGATACACAACAATATACCACCAGATATGCAACAATACACCACCAGATACCCCAACAATATACCACCAGATACCCAACAATATACCACCAGATACACAAATTTCATCCAAATACACAATATACTACCAGATATGCAACAATATACCACCAGATACACAACAATATACTACCAGATACACAGGTTTCATCCAAATTTGTCAGAAATTATTTCTTTATTAAACTTCGATAAATAATTTCAACAGTTTCTGGTATAAATTATGGCAAACACAACTCAATTCCCATCTGAAAGTCAAGATTAAAAGTATCCCTTTCAATATTAAATTCAAGGTTTCATTGTCCTACAAGAAACAGAATAACATCAAAGTATAACACAACAAAGAACAGAAAACCAAACTCGGCAAGTTTGTTTTACACCCAACTTACAATTAGAATTTTGTTCATTTTTATTCAGCATTACATTCCTCTTCTTCTTCATTCCCATGGCAACAGAAAATATCTGACTTTCCTTTCGTGGAGGAAGTCCAGTGATTCCATCATCAAAACCTTGAGGAGGCCAAGAACAGAGATTCTGGTTGATGTCTGTCAGCTCTAAAGGATCAAGTATCATATGAATATCACTGGAGTTTTCCTCCAGATAAACATCAGAAAGCATGATGATAACTGTTGGCCCCAACGCAGAATACAATCAATTATTACTGCTCTTTTCTGGTGCAAATAGAGAAGGTAACAGCTGCAGTTTGTGGTGGTGATACCTGGGTTCTAAGGATGAAAAAATAACACGGAAATTCTGATTTGCTTCACTGTTTTGTATCTTAATGTATAATATAGAAACATGATAATCATTCCTATGCTTATTTCTCTTTCAAAACATTAGTTTTTAACTATTATAAACAAAATAACATAATGTACAGACAACAAAGGACCATCTGTTCCTTCAAAGCACATCCTTATACACTGTCACATCCATGAGAAAAGTAAAACTTTCAACCAGCCCTTCCCTATGTTTTTCAGAAAATGATCAATTCCCCTCTTAACCTTCTGTAAGGTAATGTCCTCCAACCATTTCTGCAGATGGCAACTCACCAATTGCATTCTTAAAAAATACAACTGTCTTAACTGAAGCTTAAACTTGTGACTTTTATTATTTTCAGAACACAGCACAAAGAAATCAAATACTTTTATCTTATTGACCCCCCAATAACCTTTTCACCTCAATAAGCTTGTCTTTTATTATTCTTATCTCAAGAAAAAAGAAGAGGTTTTAACCTATCCCTATAAGATAACCCTTCCACCCCTGGAATTATAAGTCTACATCCTCTCTTAGATAAGAAAACAAAATCTAAATACACTGAGTACGTACCATTTCCATCATCCAGATATCAAGAAACTACATATAACAGACTAGTAAGTTAAGATTTCCCTTTAGTGAATCCATATTGACTTTCCTATTCAAATGACACCATATTTAACTAAATGATTTGGTAAAGCTTCATTTATAAGATACTAGTAGTTTTCATACTACAGAAGAGAAACTAATTGGCCAATAATTTCTAGAGCAACTCATAACTTCCCAATCCTGAGTCATTTGCCTACTGTCTAATGAGATACAACACCTGAAGGAGGCGAGCTCACATACCTGGTCTCTAAAATCCTTTAAAATCCAAGGGGTCCAAGGGGTCTGGTCCTGAAGCTCACATACCTGGTCTCTAAAATACTTTAAAACCATGGGAGAGAACACTGTCTGGTCCTGAAGCTCATATACCCGGTTTCTGACGTCGTTTAAAACAATGAGGAAAAACACTGCCTGGCCCTGAAGCTCACATATCTCATTTCTGACATCGATTAAAACCATGGGAAGAAAACACTGTCTGGTCCTGAAGCTAACATACGTGGTCTCTAAAATACTTTAAAACCATGGGGGAAAACACTGTCTGGTCCTGAAGCTCACATATCTTGTTTCTGACATCGTTTAAAACCATGGGAGAAAACACAGTCTGGTCCTGAAGCTCACATACCTGGTTTCTGACATCGTTTAAAACCATGGGGGAAAACACTATCTGGTCCTGAAGCTCACATACCTGGTTTCTGACATTGTTTAAAACCATGGGGGAAAACACTGTCTGGTCCTGAAGCTCACATACCTGGTTTCTGACATTGTTTAAAACCATGGGGGAAAACACTGTCTGATCCTGAAGCTCACATACCTGGTCTCTGACATTCTTTAAAATCATCGGAGAAAACACTGCCTTAACCTAATTACCACCAGAGAACTAACATCCATACGATTCCAGCTGATCACAATAGAACACTCAAAAATATCATCTCTTGCAAAACAGAAAAAAATGTTTCAAAGTTATAATTTTTCTATATTGAAAATGTATTTCCAATAGGATCTTTCCTCCTCTCAGAAGATTAGCTATTCTTGTTCATTGCTGCCTTCTTTATGCGAACTTTTTTAATATGCATGCCACAAGCCTTCTACACCCCCTATTGGAATCAAATGATTCCAATGTGTGTGTCTCATGCAAATCACCATGCGTCACTTATCCACCAACAGGATCATAGTACACTCACATGATGCATGTGACTCCCTCTATGTGCCTCTTCAGAACTGTCACTTTTCGTTTGACAGCACTTGGACGTCTTTCTTTTTTCGTCTGGTGTCGTGTTTGAAATTGTATTTTCTCGAAGTGGTTTAATTTTATTTAAAATACTTAGTTTTTACATTATTTCAATTCACTTACCTGTATTATAGTCGCATTTATTATTTACTTTAATTGCTTTTGTCGACTAAATCACCATGAATTCCAAAGTTGATGTCACCACTTCAGGTGTCATACAATCGACAGGCGCTACACCACAGGAGATTTGCCTACGTTTATTTGCAGGAAGATTGAATGTTATATGGGTCAACCTTTATATCCAGAAATTGCCCCTCTTCCTGAACCTGTGGAATCTGGTCAGGTTAATGAGGACTTTGATCACCTGTTTCCACTTTCTGAATTTGATGTGCCTTCCCATACCCTCCCTGAAGATTCTGTTTGACCTTCCATGGTTTTTGCCCCTCGACGTGGATTGCTGTATGTGGTAAGGGGACCACTGGGATCTAAACATCCACCCACGTGTTTGCCATGTGTGGCGACCGTGAAGGGGAGGAGAGAATCCTGGTGGTTGAGTGTTGTCTGGGACACTGCAACACACCACTTTGGCCTTGAATTCCTGTAGATGGGTGGCCTTGGGGTGGCCCCAGGGTCAACTGAGTACCAGTGTTGGGTGTTCTCAACGGGTGTTGTGGACATCGTGTCTGATGCTGGTGTCTGGTTATAGTGCTCATGAAACCCTGGCATTGCTGCAGTGTCATTTTTGATATTGTAATGCATCCCCTCGTAGGACTCCATGGCGGGTTTGGTCAGTGGGCACTGAATCTTTCTCCTTAATTATGGATCTCCCCAATCCAAATAACAAAATAGTAAAAACTCTGCTTATTGGTAAACGACCACGCCTAGAAGACTCTGAACAGCAGTCTCCACCACAAGGTGGACCTGTACCTTGCTTTCTGATCTTGCATTCACTATCCAATAAATCTTTAGGGCAAATGTTACCTTTTTTATTCAGAAGGGCTTGCTGGGTCTCCAAAGTTAGTTAAGAAGCTCCGTTCTGGAGACATCTTGGTTGAAACATCCACAGCTAAACACACTGAACTCCTCTTGAATTCAAAGGCCATTGGGGATATACCCATTGAGGTTACTCCCCACGCTTCCTTGAATTCGTCACGAGGAGTTATCGTTGAGAGGGACTTGAAGTCTATCCCCAAGTCAGAGATCCTTGCTGGTTTCTCCAGCCAAGGAGTTCCAGCAGTTCGAAGGATCTCCACTTGTCAAGAAGGTATTATGGTGCCGACCTGATTTTGACGTTTTCATCACCACGTCCACCTGCCACTGTTAAGGCAGATTATTTGAACTGTAAGGTACGACCCTATATTGCCAACCCTCTCCGACGTTTTCAGTGCCAGTGGTTTGGTCATTTGAAAACATCTTGTTGTGGTTCTGTGACGTGTGCTCGTTGTGGTGGC